TTAATTCATATAGTATTTTAAAATAAATCTTTGGGAACCTTTGTTATTATTATTGTTATTAGAATTAGTAGTAGTAGCGGGAGTATTTTCCTGAACACCTGTTGTATCATAACATCTTGGACATATTTGTATATATTTGATTGTACTAAATGTGTCATGACATTGCCAAAGAAAGAAAGAAAGAAAGCGCACGGTGTTACTGATTGTGGACTCTAAGGGACGCTGTTGGTCAATATAACATTTTTTTCTTTAACATTATGACACAATCTCCTCCCTTACCGCCGTTGCTCGTCAAGAAAAGCCTATAGTATTCATTATATTGGCTCACAATCGAAGAAAACGCACATCTCCTTCTTTATATCTAAAAGATAGAATACAGTATTATATCATTGGTGATATATTAACTTTAGAACCCAGAATAAGTGAAGCGATTTGCAATTGCCTTTAACTATGGATTGTGGATTAAAAGGATACACCCGGTGCATAAAATGGCGCTTTGGCTGTGGACGCAATTGGCATTTCTTCTTGCTCATTTTTTGTCTGATTCATATGGTCACTGGACATATTCGATACTCTATCCCAGAGGAGATGAAGAAAGGCTCACTCATCGGTAATGTAGCACAGGACCTCGGCTTGAATCTCAAAAGGCTCCGTTCGGGTCGGGCCCGTATCGTGACTGGCGACAGCATTCAGTACACCGAGCTGCAGACAGACAAAGGGATTTTAGTCGTCAAAGAGAGAATAGACCGAGAGCAGCTGTGTGGAGACACAACCCCGTGCAGTTTCAGCTTTGAGGTGATTTTAGAAAATCCTATGGAGCTACATCAAATCACAGTTGAAATAACGGATATAAACGACCATTCGCCAACCTTCAAACGAAACGGTATCAATTTTGAAATCAGCGAAATAGCCAGTGTTGGTGCTCGATTTTCTTTAACCAGTGCAGAAGATCCAGACGTGGGTGTTAACGGACTTAGAGAATATTTTCTGACCGACAATGACAATTTTGTTCTTAAACAAAACTCGAATGCAGACGGGAAGAAATACGCAGAGATGGTGCTTCAGAAGCCGCTGGACAGGGAGACAAATCCTAGTCTGTCTCTAAAGCTAATAGCTGTAGATGGTGGGACTCCGCAGA